CATATAAGCCCGGTTTTCTGGAAAATGAATTGCTGAGGTTAGAATTAGAAGGTAACAAGTTTCAGCTGCTGTCCAAATTGATGCAAGTGCTACCTGCCGTGTGTGATAGTGTTTTAAACGATACAAAGATTATGGAGGAACTAAAAGGCTTTGATCTTCTTCTGTACGATTTCCTTGGAGTATGTGGTGCCCTTATTGGTGATCGCCTTGGTATTCCAAGGATACAAGTGGTGCCTAAGCCCAATAACCCTTTGGACCATATGGTACCCACACCACTTTCCTATATCCCAATAATGATACTTCCCGCCGGATTCACGGACAAAATGACATTTTTGCAACGAGTTGCCAATGTAGTCGCATACATTGGAATGCGCTTGCTCAAAGACATTATCTTTGCAAGGCCAATGGCTGCCTTGAAACTGAGATACAACATCACAACTGAAAGAAGCTACCAGGAGACTGTTGATGGCACGGAACTTGTTTTAATCAGAGCAGATTTTGCAATAGAGTACGCCCAGCCTCTTTTGCCAGGTGAGGTTTCCTTAGACTCATTTACTTGATGTTACTCAGTCTAAGCATGGGGCAAAATGTTATACTAGTCGGGTCGTAGCTGGGATTTTTTTAAGGCAGGGAGGTTCACACCGTGTAGGCTCTTCTGCTTCAACCTTTCTGGCCTCCTGAATTATAAAGTTTGCGTTTTGTCGACCCCGAACTGATTATCTCAAGAGCTTAAACATTTTCATCTCTTAATTTAGACATGGTTGTTAAATAAAATGTATTTCTAAATGTTTCATCTTTTTCCGTGTTACTTTCAAAAGGGAATATAATGGTTGGACCATTGAGTGTTAAGGAAGGTAAACCACTCCCCCCTGATCTAGAAGACTTCGTCACTAATGCGGGAGGGGATGGTTTTATTATTGTTTCCTTTGGATCAAACTTGGCCTCGATTCTTCCAAGAACAGTTGTGGACATGTTAGCGACAGCATTTGGAAAGCTGAAACAGCGAGTTGTGTGGAGACTTAAAGGTATCAAGAGTATACGTCTCACATTTTCATTTAGACGTTTACTTTAAAATAATTCTTTTACCTAAATGACACAATTTTGTTTTCGTACAGATAGAAATTCCTTACTATACCAAAATGAAGAACAATGACTTACACTAGGTCATGACTTTGCAACTTCCTAATTTCCTTTCCTCAGCTTGGTGAGAACAGAAAATTATCACGCAGAAAGATGACTCAAACACACACGCACGTGCGCAATCTCACGCACCCTGTAATAGTATCCATGGAAATTGAATACAGTCGAACCTCGATTATCCGGACTTTTTCTGTGGTCCCAATGTTTTTTTCATGAATATTCATTAGTCATGATCCAGATCCGTAGCCCTATTCTTTTGAAAGCTATAGCATTGAAAAGGGAAGTAAAGGCGATGTTCTTCTTTAAGACAAACTGACGTACTTCCACATAGTAGGTCTATGTAGAAACATTTTTTCATTAATTCTAATTATTAATACACACGTGTAGAGGTGTTCTCGTAGGACAGTGAAGACGTAGACCATGTCTTTTCAAAACGATTTGTCAATGTTTTGTTTCAGGATTAAATGTCGCTTTCTTAATTTAATCAGTTTTTGTTCCTCATTAATATTCCGGCATATTCTCGATTATCCGGACCCACGATTATCCGGACTACATCGTGCAGTTGGCGCGACTGTAGCCTGATGGGAAAATTGGGACGAAATGCAAATAACAACTTTGGAAAATCGAATGTAGCCCCTTTGAGAGGCATAAGCCTTTCGCTTGAAAGAAATGTTTGTTGATGAACGAGGGAGGCGTACATGCAAAGCTTTCCTCTAAAGAAAAACATCCAAATACTTATTTGTCCTCCTTTGTCATTGTGGATTGTTGATACAGTTTCATTCCTTGTGTTTTCTCTAAGCTCGTTTCTGCTCTCTCAGGTTACATTCCATCCTTCTTGGGATCTAACATCAAAGTAGTGGAGTGGTTACCTCAGAATGATCTCTTGGCTCACAAGAATAT